GTGGTGGTGATGGTGATGGTGATGGTGATGGTGATGGTGATGGTGATGGTGGTGGTGATGGTGGTGGTGATGGTGATGGTGATGGTGATGGTGGTGGTGATGGTGATGGTGGTGGTGTACCCCCCCCCCCTCTCCGCTCCGTTGTTCGCCGTTGGAGCGCCCGTTCGCTATCCCTCTCTCACTTTCACACTCACTCTCTCTTCAACTGTCGCGGGAGAACACACGGTCCCAACACCAGCCGGGTCCGTACCACTCCTCCTCCTCCTCCTTCTTCTTCTTCTTCTTCAACCTCAACCACCTGAAATCAAAGTAGTGTCTGCAAGAATGTCTGTGGTCGCTGACGTCTTTGCTGCCTTTGACGTGGACGAGTCCGGAGCGCTCGATAGCGACGAGTTTGCGTCGGCTGTCGCCGCCATGGGCTTCAACCCCTCGCAGACGCAGCTGGCCAAGGCTATTGCTGCCATCGACACAGACAACTCGGGCTGTATCTCGCTCGATGAGTTCGAGGCCTTCATCGACAAGCTCGTCGACAGAGGCACAGACTTTGATCCCGCCGTTCGCCTCGCCGCCCAGAGAGAAAGCCTCGCCGCCGCTTGCGCCGTTCTGGACTCGGACAACTCGGGCGAGATCGACCTCGCCGCGCTCCGCACCCTACTCGCCTCGGACGGCGAGCCCATGGACGAGACCGAGATAGATGCCGCCTTTGCTGCCTACATCCCTGACGGCGCGACCTCCATCGCCATCGACGACCTCGTCAGTGCCCTCGTCACTCCGCCCGAGGCCTCACACGTCCCGCTCGACGTTCTCCTCCGCCGCAAGCGCCGCATCGCTGCCACCTCGCGCGGCAAGTGCATCCGCCGTGTCCGCCGTCCTGCACCGTCAGCCGATGCAAGTGCAAGCGCAAACGGAAGCGCAAGCGCAGACCCCGAAGCGGACGCGCACACACGCCCGGACATCGACAACAACGACGCTTCCCGCTCCGACCGCTCGGCAAGCGAAAATCCGGGCTACGACGACGCTTCCCGCTCCGACCGCTCGGCAAGCGAAAATCCGGGCTACGACGACGCTTCCCGCTCCGACCGCTCGGCAGGCGACGATGCCGGCTACGATGATGATGCTTATGACGATGGGTACGATCAGGTGCCGTCGCGTTCTGGCTCCCACTCGGGCTCACGCCATCCCTCGCCCTCCCACTCCCGCTCGGCCTCCCACTCCCGCTCGGCCTCCCACTCTCGCTCGGCCTCCCGCTCTGGCTCTGGCTCTGGCCCGGGCGCCGCCGATGCCGATGCCGACGACCGCGAGGCGCGTAAGGCCGCTATGCGCGCGCGCATCGAGGCCCGCCGCGCCGCAGCCCGCGAGCGCAAGGAGGCATCGGTTGACAACGACGAACCTGTCCGCGACTCGACTACCGGCTCTGGCTCCGGCTCGGGCCGCCGCCGCCGCCGCGTCCGCAAGCAGCAGTGACTCGTTTTTATCCCCCAACGGCACGGTCGTTCGGACGCGTTATCGCGTGTCTCAAAGTGAACAACTCGATGGTGCTTGACTTCCAGGTCACCGGCCGACGCTGCGCGACGCATGCTTGGCCTGCGGCTTGAGGTGGGAGGCACGCCCGCACGTGATGGCGGCCGACACGTAGACGCCCGCCTGAAGGATGCCAGACCTGGGAGTATGGGCGAGGCGCGCAAGGTGCCGTACGCCGCCGCTCCTCCGGATCGGCGGGCGTGGACGGTGCTGAGCTTGTTGTTGACGACCCGGCGACCAGGAAGAGAAGCAACTCAGAGTTGAACACAGCGGCCGAACGGGATAGCGCGAGGACATTGTCGATCTTCATGCGACGGACGAGCTTGCCCGTCGGCGTGGCTGCTTAAGTGGTGCCACGCCATCCTGTACTGGATTCTGGACGCCGCGCTCATCAACGCGTACGCGCTCTGTGCCAACGCGAGCCCGCGCCCCGCCATGACTCGCGTGGCTATCATCGACGCCCTCAACGCCAGCGCTGACGCCGTCAGCTACGCGCCGTCGCGCAAGCGGGAGCGTCCCTCTGCACCGGCTGCTCATCATCACCACTTTCCCCAGCAAACTGCTCTGCGACGCGACTGCCTCGCCTGCCGGAAGCTTCATGGCAAGCGATCGCAGCCGCGGATCTTTTGCGCTGCGTGCGGCGTCCACCTCTGCATCGCCGACTGATTTCTGTTGTGGCCCGGCCCACCAGTGGCCACAACAGCCATTAACACATTGCACTACTCTTTTACCGCGATTGTTGGACGTTGCGACGTCTGTGGAGCGTCGCAGAGTGCGACTTGCGCGATGGACAAATACGTCCATTCCGTATCGTAGAGCGCAAAGGGGGGGGGGGGGGGGGGGGAGGGGGGGTGGACAACGAACCGGGCCGTGAATGGTACATATC